GAGCAGTATTTGAATCCATGGGATTTCTTGGATTATCAACGATCTGTTGAATAAATCCAATCATTGTTAGCTTTCACAAAGCTTATAAACTAAACCGAGTTTCACTTAACTTATAAATTGGTTTTGCTCGCTTCCAGTGATAGCCGGAGGGTTCACCCCGATTCCCACGTCCTTACTATGAGGAGGGTATAAAGGGCTTCCTCTTCAAACCCGGCCCGCTAAGACAAAGCTTGCTTCCCCAATTTACAGGAAAAGTTACTTCCGATTTTGTTTAACTTTTTTCTTTTCTTCCAAAAAAGATAAATAAATAATAATATTGGTTTTTTTTTTTCTCACAAAACACTTTTAAATATATTGGGCTCTCTCTTATGGGCTTTTAGATTAATCTCTTCAAATTGGGTCAAGACTAAACTTTTTCAATTTGGGCTTACTCTTTTGGGCTTTTCAATTAATCTCTTTTAGGCCCATTTTGATTCTATCAAAACAAACCCAAATCCAACAAGACCGGACTCAATGATACTCCTAGATAGTGGATTGGAAGAGAACCCTATCCAATACCAATACTTGCAGAAAGTGGATATCTTTCGACCTCGGACAATCCACTGGTGTACAACTCAAATTTATCTGGGTTAATGTGGAAGCCATAGAGAACACGCTCTGATACTAAATAAACAAATGGTATAGAAAATATTTGTTGTATATTGATGTGTATTGTGTTGTATATATACAGGCAGAGAATGTTACAGTTAAGGAAACGAATAACAGAAACATTGATGTAGATGTCCTCTATCATAAATGTCATACAAATAATGCGGATGTTCCTTTCCTTCTCATGTTTATTAATAATATGGCCACACGAACCACGAAACTTAGATCACATATATCATCTAAAATTAGGTGACTAAGAAAAATATGTAATGATATTTCGAAATGCTTATGTTTCCTTGATTCTATGAAAGGATTGGTTTTTCCTACCAATAAATGATCTACACCTTGTCATATATATATATATA